AGAGTTTTAGAAAATTACATTGCACTCTTATTATACAATAACACATCGATGCTTGGAAGATGATGAACAAAAGTACATCACCCGTCTATGGAGATATGGACAGAAATCAAAACAAGCTTACAGTCATAATTAAGGCAGCTCATTTATGGGCATGATATAAACAACTTACTTTCTGATATTGTTTATGATAACAACGCAGTCGGTCTCCTCATTATGACACTGAGGTGTGGACTTGAAAACCTAAACGTTTTAAAGTGAATTATTGCATTCAAGTCGACACTTTCTTACCGCATTGATAAATCTTGTTTTAAAATTTTTATATGCGTCTGAACTATCATCCTTGAGGTCAGCGGTAAATGTTCTGTCGATCAGCTTCACAGATGAATCGATGATAACTAAAAGCAAAATATTCATTATGGATTGCAATCATGTTCACAAATTGGTTTGTTATATAATAAGTACTGCACACTCATTATGGTTAGCTTAATTCTTCAAAGAAACAATCGCAGTTTCCTCGCCATCGTCCAGGACTTCTTTTGGTATAGCATTATAGACTTTCAGGTTATTTCCACACTTCTATGACTCAGTCGACCAGTAAATTTGGACTCCGCTTTTCCTATACAGCAGGTCAGGGAATGTTGCCAACATTGACGGTCTTCTCTCAGTGTTAAACGTTGGTGAAGACTTAGAGAGTCTAGAGAAGATTCATTTATGCACTTTCACCAAACCGTTTTGGATGTTTCTCAGAGGGTAATTGTTTTTCGGCCAAGCAACAAATGGCCTCTAAGTCATTGTTTTTAGTGTCAATCGCATGTCATGCCCAAACCGTAGCTGTGAAAGCACAGTCATGAGAAATTGTGCCTCAGTGCAAGGATTTTCAGACGGCTGCGCTAAGAACTCGATCGAGACGAGGAAGCGTTTCAACTGTCCTCAAGGAGAATGTTTCAGCATTACTTATCATACTATTCATGAACAGAAAACGAATACCAAATTTTTTAAATCTAACACTACACACCGGATTGTTCCGACCTGTGATTTCCTCATGGCCCTTCGAATACAGATGAAGATGACTTGGATTAAGACCTTGTAGATCTGGAGAGGAATGTAATTGATCGTTTGGCAAACGGAATTGTTCCTTTCTTCTAGTTTAAAGTTCTTCTGGTTTCTACCGTCGTCCCAAGTAACTGCAGGAACTGCTTCTGGAGCAGAGAGGAACAAAGTGTGGCAACTTCCGGTTCGCACCTGTTTCAAAAGAGTGCGGGCTTACGTATGACTTTGTGCGGATCGCTTTCTTCCCATTGCGAATAGTAGATATTACGGTCCTTTGTCATTCAACGCACTGTATTAAGCGGTTTCCTTGTTCCTTTGCTTGTAGGCATATCTTCCGCTTCGTAGTTTCTCTTAATCTAATTTTCCTTCAATGTTCATAGTTTTATCCCAGCTTATTCTGTATAATTTTGATCGATGGACTGTACTACCCGTTGTCCACGTTCTTTTCGGTCATCTCTTGTCGAAGGGTTGATGCGCTGTTTGCTCGCTGACGTTTCTGCCCAGCATGGTGTTCTAGAGGCAGTCTTGATGGCATTGACAAAATGACCATAATTTGAATCTATACCCTCGCTTATATTCGTTTCAAGGTTTATTAATGGCAGCTTCTCTACGAAGGCTACGACTTGAATCGGAATTCTCCATACAGTGGTCTTCTTTGGGCTCTTTCGACATGTTCTTCCTTTGTGACGTCTAAGTGGCTGTAAACTGTGAATGCTTGTAGTATGACCTGTTATGATTACGTTTTCGCTTATGGCCAATACTCTGATGTTGTAGATTCCTTGTCATTCAGAAATATGTTGATCTGATTCAAAGACTTTCCGTTTGTGCTTCTCCATGTCTCCAACGTCACTTCGGAGTTTTCTGCAAAGCGGTAATTATGACATGAAGGAGGTTGCTTTCAGCGAAATTTGCGAAGCGATCCTCGCGTTCATTTCTTTCGATTTTTTGTATTTGTCGAAGAATGTATCAGGGTGGTTCGTTCATTTCGCTTCACTGCGTTGAAGTTTCCTTGAACAATCCTTTGAGCAGTTTTGTTCTCCATGGGGCATTCCAATTCCTCATTGAACAGCTCTCTTCATCTTCTGCTTGGTGGGTTTGCCTTTTAGTTTGGATTATTTTCATTGTTCCTCTATTTTCTACCACTAGAAATAGAACCGCTATAAGAGGTGAAAAATAACACAGCTCAGCACAAATGATACAGCCCTCCTTTTCACGTTGAATTTAACTCCCTCAGTCTGAGCTCGATTCTCGATGCCCTTCAGAAGGAACTTGATCATTCTTGTTCCACTGTTCACCAAGTTTTGTAGATCTTCTTCGTTCCCGTGATGTAGACGTCGGTTTATGCTACTGTCGATAGAGTTCTCGTATCTTATCACGCCACGAAGATCTTAGTAACTTTCTGAGTTTGGTTCCTACAGAATACGGAGTCTTAGGTGTCATTTAGACCGACTTGTTGGCCTTCATCTATTTTTCCGGTTTCCGCTTATCCATGAGCTCTTTTGTGAGTAATTATTGGATCAGGTCATTCTGGGTGCTAACCCTCATCATTGTCTTCATTTCCGTAATTTTCATCCCGTCCAACGGATTCAGAAAAGTGGAAAATATGTTGAGGTTTTTTGGCGATATATGGAACAACGCATTGTTTATTGTGCATGAAAGCCGGACCTAAATTTTTATTACAATATATTAATCATTCAGATCTGTGGTCTCGCGTAGGCGTTCTTGAAACCGGGCATGCAAGAAACAAATAAATACCTGATATGGAAACATCGCCAGAGATCAGAAAGCGAAGGTCCGAAAAGAGTATCGCGGAGAAGCATAGTGAAAGCGCTTGCAACCGCTACGATAATACTGAATCCCTTCTTATGAAACTCAAAACTGTAAATTAGCGAGATCTTCGTTATGAGCGGTTTATAGACCTTCTGAATTGCAGACAAATCAGCCTAGAAGATAATAGCTTTGTGCTTGCAGCAGAACATATTTGATCAGAGGGTTCTTCAACTGTAATCATATGGGTGCGAAACAAAATCCCTAAGGGTGAGAGATATTCATGAACGGCAAACTACATAATTTTTCACGGAAAAGAAAGTTTGTTTGGAGTAGCAAAAAAAGTAGGAACACGAACAAACAGTACATAACGAGTCGGAACACAAACTAAAGTTTGCAGCACCATTGTGTGAGTGAATAAGCTGAAGTGGAAATAAGCAGAACACGTTGTAAGAAATACCAATTAAATTGGTACTCCCGATAGATGCGTTCTACCTGATTCAGGGGAACACTTTGGTTGGCCGTATGGTCTTTCGTTAACTAGGCGCTCACGGTGATCCTTTCAGCATGTATAATCGAGTGCCGCTAAATTTTGCAACGAAGCAGAAAACAATTACTTGTTCTCAACGAAATCCATAAATGTGGCATTCACGCATAAAGTACTTCTGATTCATCCCACTAAGCAGAAAATCTGGTAAATTCTGTGAAGTAATAGTGGACATACCGAACCTACTGTGGAAATGTATCATATAGCGATACAGTGCACGAATCTAATTTTATTTTCCCTTGTATCAGCTGTACCAGAAGGCACTCTGTTAGTTTCAATATATGCAGTGTTTTTAGGAACAGAGGGTTTCAATCACAAAGTAAAGGTTAGCAATCGGCTTCGGCTTGTTATCTATGTCCCTGAATGTGCCAGAATAGTAAAATTGCGTATAACTTATTATTATTTCCGATAATTGCTTTGGAGCCAGTAAAGCTAATCTCTCAGCGTAACATATTTCGCTCAAGAACTTAAGGCGAATTTAACCTGACACATAGCCAACAAACACAGATATTTAACGATAGCTGATGTTGGGCGTGAGTTAGAAAAAAGCTTTTGATTTAGGCGTCGACATACAATACTGAGGCTTCGACATGCTTCAGACCGATGATGTATCATCTACGAGTAAAAACAGTACAGGATGATGTCACGACCGAAGCTATGAAGCTTTCGATTACGCTGCTGAATGTGTACTTTGAACGACTGCAACCTGCAACTTATCTGATATCTACCTTGTAGTCAAATAGAGGTGTAAAGTTCGGGATAAATACACCAAGTTGAACTTAGTTGCTAAAGGTGGTGGAAGTTCAAATTCCTCCAGCAGCCGGATCAGCTAGTCATAAACTACACCCTCGCTCTTTGATAGAACCATATTAATGAGACCCTAGCAAAATTAACCAGTGACT